TGCGTGATCAGTGGTTCCAGTCGGGCCACTCCTATAAAAAATTTCTGGATCCACCACTGCTTAGAATAACTTAGATCCTTGACAATAATGTCTAGAAGAACATTCCACCCTAAAAAAAATAAAATAAAAATCTAAATTGTGAGCTATAATGTGCTGGTTGTAGCAGCTGCCTCTTCCTGTTCTGACTAACTGATTAGGTATTCACAAACATCTGCAGTTAGCAATTTAAAAAAAAGTAATTGAAATGTGATGGCTGATTAATGGGTCTACCACTATGAATCCTAATCCAGTGAGACAATTCAACAAAGGTAACAACTAAGGACCACTCTGACCTCTTGACCTTACTTTTTTTKGGGGGGTGGGGGGGTGGGGGGGATTCTACGGTTCTGAAAAACACATTGTTAGTAGTTACCAGATCTCAACCATCAAAGCTTAAAGTTCTGAAAAAATTAATGACAGTCAAGAGGATGGCCATGAATCAAGCAGGCCCCCACCAAAAAAGCTTAGTTTACCCATATCCTCTAAAACTGAGAGGYACAACTTTCTCAAATCCCCAGCCGTGCCTCCATATATTGAAATTATCGCAATAAATATAGTATCAAAAGAGCAGCAGCCATGTCCTCTTACCCATCTGTGCCTGTGTCGGATGTCTTTCAGAGGTTCATGGTGCAGGGGAGCCCTGCTGCTCTCAGTCAAGCCTGCTCGCTTTGCTGCGGCAGCCGCTGGACCATCGCATCGGCGGCGGGGGACACTCGGTGATAACCGGAGGAAGGCAGGAGGAGGAGGAGGGGGAGGAGGAGGGGGAGGAGGAGGGTGGCTCTTCGCTGCTTTCAGCCGGGTTACTCTACGGTCATCTCGCCTCTGCTCTCCCCTGGTTGTATCCGGCGGAGCTGCAGCTGAAACCGTCCCGAGCAGGAGTCCTGTCGACCGCGGTGGTGACACAAACCTGCCTTTTACCTCCGGAGGTTATATATATATATTTAAAAAAAATCCAGAAAAAATAATAATAAAATAAGGGGAAGGAAACGCCGAGCTGACTATGAAATTAGCAAAGCCAAACAGTGTAAAATACTAATAAAAAAAGATAATAAGGAACGCGGTGTTGATGGGGGGCGATAGCCGCCGCTGTCTGCCGCCCAGTTCTCCCGTTTTCTGTCGTGTTTACGAGGCTCAGTCGCCTCCTCCCTCCGCCGCTCAGTCCGTGATGCGGCTCCCTCAGTCCCGTGCTCCAGACCCGCTGTGACGCCTGCACCGCTCAGAGGAAAACACACCTCCAGCTTCTCCTTTTTGTTGCTGTTGTTGTTGTTTTTTTACGTCTTCATTAGCTTCCTTCTTTGCAGCGGCATGGAGGAGAAGGTGGAGACGACAGCGCGTGTGTGTTTGAAGAAGGGGGGGCAAGTGGAAGAAACCGAAGGGAGCGGAAGGAGGAGCCCCCGAGACGAGAGCTCCACCCCGTTATGCTGCTTTATCAGCGGGACGATGGGGGCGCAGATTCGGAGAAATCTACAATTCTGAAATATGAGCGGAGGAGGAAGATGAGGGAACGAGGCTCATTAAAAAAAAACCGCTGCTATTCATCCAGGGATGTTTTGAGAACATGTCTTAACATGAATGCCCTTTTTTTATGCTTTTAACTTCACTATTTCTGCAGGACTGATCCAAAATCAAAATGCACACATTCAAAAGGGTTTTATTCCCAAATTCCCCACCGGGTGTAGGGGAAAAAAATGCTGCTGCCTGACAGAGTGGTGCAGATGCAAGAGGTGCTATTTGTGTACTGTGTTTTCTGATATGCACGATGGCCTGCAGGGGGCGCCAGAGGAACCGTGACTCACAGATCAGTTTTGATGACTGCTCACYCATGTCTGTTTCAGGAAAGATAAGACTGGCGTGAACTGCTAGACTGCTACTGAAGCATGTTCAAAATGTCCTAATAAAATAAGCTTAGCTATTTTAAATAATTTACTTGGTATGGAAATATTTATTTAATGAATGAAGACACTCTGGAATGATCAGCTGAGTTTTATTTGCAACA